AAACTTGTAGGTGAGAGTTGGGTGGGGAAGGCCCCAAGCGCTAGCCTCTGGAAACCAGTGGTTTGTTTCAGCCTGTAAATACACTGGATGAGTTTGCCAGGGCTGCCATAGCAAAATACCACAGACTGGGGGGCTTAAACAGAAGTTGACTTCTCACAGTTTTGGGAGCTAGAAGACAAAGATCAAGGGGTTGGCATGTTTGGTTTCTCCTGAGGCCTCTCTCCTTGGCTTGCAGATGGCGGCCGCCTTGTGTCTGCGCGTGGCCCCCCTCTGTGAGTGGTCTGTGTCCTTCCTGATCTCTCTCCTTATAAGGGCACTGGTCAGCTGAGATGAGGGCCCCCCTAAAGACCTCTTTTTTAACTTAATCACCTCTTTAAAGACATTATCTCCAGATCCACTCACACTCTGAAGTACTGGGGATTAGGACTTCAACGTGTGAATTTGGGGGAGACACAATTCAGTCCATAGCATCTCCTTAGTTCCCTAGATAGACTTAGAGTCAATCCTCTTTCACATTTATCTTTGACAAAGAGAGAACAGAACTAATATTCCGTTTATCAAATTAAAGGCTGCTTTTATTTGATAAAGACTGCAAACACCTTTGGTAAAGTTCTGCTTTGTTCTTCAGAACACAAAGATGCACTTCGGTTGATATGGAGTGAGAAGTCTTAAGGAAAAGCAAACAGAAGTATGGAGAGGTTGAAAAAGGAAAAGGAACCTGAGTGCTGGGGGACCACAACCACAGGAGGAACTCAGTCCCATAACAGCGTTGCAGGCGGGCGGGGGGCATGCTTTGGAGATATCTGAAAAGTGCCTTTTACCTAGCGGCTAGGGAATGATTCTCTCTTTGGCAACTTGTTATTAGGCCATTAAATTCAGTTGCGGGTGGTTTTTAAAAAAAGATGTGGTGAAATTAGGGAAGGGTTAGATATACAGTACTAGTCACACTTTCTCCCCCACTGTAAAAGTACAAGTTTGTTGCATATAGGAGGCAGAAGAATAAAATGCAGAAGAATGAAGGATATAAAGAATAACACCTGAAACTAATGTAACATTGTGTGTCAACTCTACTTCAATAAAAAAATACAGAATGAAAATGAGAGGGCACCTGGGTGGCTCAGGCCGTTGACCGCCTGACTCTTGGTTTCAGCTCAGGTCATGATCTCAGGGTGGGGAGACTGAGGCGGGAGTCTGGCTCTGCACTCAGCAAGGAGTCTGTTTGAGATTCTTTTTCCCTCTCCCTCGCCCATACACCTCCCCCTTCTTGCTTGTGCCCACGTTCTCTCTCTCTAATACATAAATGAAATCTTTAAAAAAAGAATGAAAATGAGAAAATTAAAAAATCCCGTTAATCTTCAACATGTCAGAGGTAATCACTCTAAAATACTTTTAAATTTATTTTTCAAAAACAGTATCATCCCACATATACTGCTCTTGGAATCTGTATTTCCATTTACATCATGAACAATGTTTGTTTTACTTTAAAAAATCTTGTTAGTAATAACTGAAAAGAATTCCATCATATAGATGTGGTTGAACTTGTTTAAAACATACAGATAATTTAACTATGACCATGCAGGTTGGAAAAAAAAATTTATTAAGGGAGTGGAAATAATACCAAACTACACGTGATAAAAGTAATTAATATAATTTTTGACTGTAATTTTGGAGTATAGACAACACAAATACCCCCCCCCCCCCCCCCCCCACCCGCCCCCCCCCCCCCCCCCCCCCCCCCCCCCCCCCCCCGCCCGGCACCACTCACCATGAAGCCTGGCTGAGATGTAGCTGTAGGACTGGGTGGGGTGGTCTGCTTCACTAAGAAGTGAGTTGAGCTGTGGATTATATGGTGTCATTTGAGGGGACCCATATGCATCTCTTCGAGCTTGATTCGGACAGATGCAATACTTCCACCAACAGATTCATTCCTGAGGGTCACTGAAAGAGGGTCCTGTCCCTTCAGAAAGGCATGTGTGTAAAATCAGTCAGTCTTGAACCTTCAGAATTTCTATGTCTGATAACTATAGCCAGAAGGACCGCGACAGCTTGGGAAATGAGATTCCTGAAGGCGCAGAGCTCTCTAGAAGCCTGTGAGGGTGTGGACCAGGAGTCTGAGCTCCTGAAGGCACGCTATTCCAGCCTGTATCATTTAGGGTCTCGGCTAGTTAAGATTTGGAGGGAATTAGCCAACCCGATCTCCGAATTTCCTCTCAGCAATCTGGGCTGGACGTGACACTCCCAAGGTTGCTTTATTGTCTCCGCTCTGGACCCTGTTCCTCTAAACCCTCTGAACCTTGGCTGGACTCAGCTCCCAGTTAACCTATTTCTCCTTGCATTTGAATTCTTATCTCCGTGAATGGTACCACCGATTGTTCAGTTGTCAAAGCTTAGTGAGTTTTGTTTCCTCTCTCACCCTCACAGCCAACCTAGTTACCAATTGTTGATTTTGCCTGGGGACTGTTTCTGAGACCCTCTCCCTTGTCAAGCTCAGGAGCACGGCCTGAGCTTTGGGCACTCCGACTCTCCAATCCAGCCCAACACCGTGGCCAGAGGGGTCTTTCTAATGGTCCTACTGATTATGTCACACCTGTGTCAAAATGGCCTTTCCGATGCCCAAACTCTTGAGCGTGGGATAGGATGATCTTCACAAGCTGGCACCCACTTATTGTAATCTATTCTTCCAGCACGCCAGTTTACAAGACTTTTCCTAAACACCCTGTGTGTACATGCTGCTATACCTTTGTGGGTCTTCCACCCTTGAGTTGGTAAGTTCTCATCCTTCGAGGGCTGGAGCAAATGTCGCCCCTGTAACTTAGAGTTCATTGTTCCTTCCCTTGGGTTCCCTGTGAGCTCTGTATAATTGTCTTCCCACCTAAACTGTGAACTTCCTGAGGGTAGTGACCTGTCCCTTGCACCTAGTATGGTGCTCCAAGTCAATAGACACTCAACAAATAATTATTGCATTAGATAGCCATTGTTTAGTTTGTACTTCCTTTGGTGCCTATATACTGCCCTGCAGTCTTTTCATGTATATGAGGTGTGACCAAGCCCTGATGTGACTCATTATTTAATAAGCATACCAGAATTTATGTAATCAAATCAGAGCTGCTTCCCTCAAAGTCTTCACCTTATGAGACTGGATATTTCGTCCAGTGATGCTGTCATTGCTCAAAACACCTTTGGAGCACCTCTCTTGGAAATAACTTTGGCATGTATAGCCCTTTCTTTTCAATCTCCTCTGTGGTAGCTTTTTGGTTTCCATTTATTCAACATTTATTATGAGCTTATCTATCCCACGCACCAAGCTGGTGCTGGGGGAAAGATAAGATAAATCAGACGTTTACTCTGTCTTCAAAGAAGTTTCTGTTTGGTAAGGGAGATAACGATCTGGACAGCCACGGCAATACAAGGTGAAGTGATAATGCTCCCTCCAGGTTGGATCTGATTTTTGGAAAAAGCCAAAAGTCCTTTGGTTTCAGCCTCCCAACAAGGTGAAAGACAGAGAGGTATGTGATAACACTGCTTTAAGCCAATGTGTTTTCAACACTTCCAAAAAGGAGCCCAGTGCGTTTCCAGCACCCCTCTCCCCAACAAGAGAGTAAACTATCTGGTACGTTCGTTTCAAACCCAGTCTCCCACTTTGTGGCAATGCTCTTCTACATACGGAGTCTTCCCAGCTACAGCTAAGCTCTTTGAGGGCAGGTGCTGAGGTCTTATTTTCATTTTTGTTTTCACAGCATCTAGGGGACACACAATATATGTTGGATAAATATTCATTGAGTTACTGAGCCCAGAAGGTGTCTCCCCGTGCCACACGGACTTCACATAAGAGTCTCCTCTCCCCATGTGCTTTATATATGCTCTTGGTAGGGACAGATCCTCAAGGGACAGACAACGACCGAAAGGACCAATGCCGGGGAGGGCACGCGTGGGGGCACTGGCGGCGGATCTGGGACTAGAGCCCGCGAGTTCCTGCTTCCTGGTTCCCTGGAGCGAGTGTCCTTTGGTGGGAGCCGCGGGGAAGGGAGCAGCCCTTCCTGCGCGTCGGGCGCCCGCCCCTTCCCCGGCCTCCCAGGGACTTGTGCGGAGCGGCGCCGGCCGGGGACGCCGAGGGTGGCAGGGACGCCGAGGGTGGCAGGGCCACCCACAGGACACCCCCCCACCCCGGTTATGAGGAAGGTTTTCAGCTCCTGGGAAAGACAGTCGGAGACTCGGCCAGGAGAGGCAGGAACCGGGGGGCTCCGGGAGGACGAAGAGAGTCGCGGCCGAGAGATCCAAGGGAACGTCTGGGCGCCGGGGAGCGGCGGAGGCCGCGTCCGAGCCGAGGGGTCCGCGCCGCCCGGCCGCCGTCCCGCCGCCCCGCCGCGCGCGCACCTCCCCTCCCCCGCCGGCCCCGCCCCCGCCCGGCCGCCCCCTCCCCCCGCGGCCCAGTCTCCTCCCCGAGGGGCCGGGGGCAGGGCCGTCCCTCCCTCCCGCTCCCTCCCTCCCTCAGCTGCGCGCATCTCATACCAGCCCTCATTCCGCACATTCCAGGCTTCCTCCTTTCAAACTCCAGGCCAGGGGGCGGGCAGGGCCCGAGCTCCCGGCTCCCGCCGCCCGCGGCCGCGTCCCCCAGGTGAGTGGCGCCCGCCCCGCCGCCGCCGCCGCCGCCGCCCCGCCTCGCGCGTCCTCCCCCCCCCACCCCCCCCGCAGCGCGGGCCCCTCGGCCGCGTGCGCCGCCGCTCTTTTCTTCCCCCCTCGCCCTTCCCGCCCCGGACCTCTCGGCCCGGCCGGCGCCCCCGCTGCCCTCCCTTCCGCCGCTGGCCCCGGAGCTCCCTTCCTCTCGCCCGTTGACTCACTCCTCCAGGAATAGGGAGCTCCCGTGCTTTCCCGTCAGTCCCATTCTGGGAAAACTCCTCCCTCGGCGCGCTCCGCTCCGCTCGGCTCGGCGCGCCAGCCCCCGGCGGCGGCGAAGCGGGTGCGGGCCGGCGCGGGGTGGGCTCCGGCCGCCGCCCGCCCTCCTCCCTGCCCGGCCGGTGGTCCGGGCCGCCGCGAGGCTCCGCGCGCTGCCCCCTGTCGTCCCGCAGTGCCGTCGCCGCCCCCCGGGAGCTTAGCGGAGCCGCGGCGACGAGTTGGCGCGCGCGGCGGAGCCCGTGGAGCTGGCTTAGCGCCTCCGCCCCACCTTCCCGCACCCTGGGACCGGTAAGGGTGCGGCGCGGCGCGGGGACTCGAGGACCTGGCCAGAGGGCCGGCGTCGGGCCGGGCGTCAGGAGCTCTCGCGGCACGTGGAGGCGGCGCGGACCTCGGGCTGGGGCTGGGTGTGGGGTGGGGGGATGCAAGGGGCTTCGCGGGAAGGGGGTCCCGGACGCTGAAAGGCCCAGAAGCGGGAGCGGCGGCGGTCGAAGGGCCCCAGCGCCCATGCCTCTTTTCTGCCGGGCCCTTCTCCGACTTGGAAAAGCGAGCCTTGGAGGTAGTGTATTGGCTGGTGGAAATGCTGAGGCTTTGCGAAAGTGGAGGAGATCCCTCCGGAGGGTGCCCAGCTCCCCGGGGCTTGAGAAGCCTGTCGTATTCCACGGTGAGGACCAGCCCGAGGGAGGAGAACTCCCAGACCCGAAGTGCGCCTTTCCCAGGGACACAGCCTCCGTGCACATGTGTGTAAAGGGGGATTCCGTGACTGTCCAATGAGTTCATGTGACCGCCTGACCGTCCCGGGTCCCTAGCTTTGGGTGTATGTGAGGGTGATACCTGTTAACATATGACTCACTTTGGCTGCCAGTAGGCGTATTTGTTTGTGTTGAACGTGAGTGTATTTCCACTCGAGGAGAGTGCTGTCTGTCTGAAAGTCTGAGTGTCTCTGAGTTCTTGTGCAGTACCACGTCTGTATGTGTGTATTTCTCTGTGAGGATGTTGGTTTCGGGCATGACTGTTTTTCCTGCCTGCATGACCATGGGCAAGAGACCGTGTTTCTCTGTCTCTCTTGTATGTGTGCAGTGATAATTGGACTGTGGTGGTTGGAGTGTGTGGTCCCCAGGCTCCATTCGCCCTGGACTGGGCAGAGCTGGAAGGAAGCTGTCCACACTTGCCTCCTCCAGGCAGCTGTCTTTCTGAGGGCGAGTGGGTTCTGTTCTTGCCTGAAACAGTTGAGAGAGCAAGCTGGTAGAAGGCTAAAGGAAGTTGAGATCTTTGTCTAGCGGTGATGGGATGGGTTGTTGATCGCGAGAACTGGGGATGGTTCCAGGCTGTCTTGAATCTTCAGGGGTGTGTGACCAGTGCTTTTCAAGTTGGCCCCAAGGACAAAGAAGATGGATGTCTACCAGCCTGGACTATTTTCAGCTGGTCCAGCTTTTCTTGGAGCTAGCTACCCAGTAGTCAGATGGAAGAATCTGATTCTTTACAACTTGCTAGATTACTCTCCACTTGGCTGTGGGAAGGGAAAGGGAGTAACTGCGCACATGCTTTAGTGCAGGCCGGGAGGGAAGGGCTGCCTCTGATTTGCTAGTTGACCTGTGGGAAGACACTTCTGGGTGTCTTCAGTTTCCCCATCTCTTCCTTTCTGTTTTGCTTTTTTTTTTTTCTTTCTCCACTTAGGGTTTTATCATTTGAAATATTTTAGAGGCAGGAACTGGGCAGAAAATACTCTAAATATTTTAGAGGCATGACTGTCCAGGAGATTGGCAGAAGTGACATAGCCTGTGATGGTGTTGGTAGAGGGACACAGGCAGATTAGGCACAGAGTTCTTTCTTCATTCCCACAACAAGGAGATGGAGGCATAATGTTGAGGACTAATTGGAAGGAAGAAACAAGGCACTCTCAGGGGTGGGGGCTGGTAGCTGTTCCTCCATGCACCCCGAGGATGCAGGTGTTCTGGTGAGAGCCACCTCACCCTCTCACCTGCTTAGATTGGGCATGTGGCCAGGACTTTGACGGCATCGGGTCTCAAGGCAGCATTGATGGAATAGAAAATATACAGATTTGGGGCTGGACATACCTGGGTGCAAATCCCGACAGTCACTTAAAATTGTTAAGGCCCTCAGGCTTAGTTTCTTGATGAGTAATATGGGAGGGGGATAATTAATATCTCTCTAAAACGTTTGTTGTGAAAATTCGGTGTTTGCCAAGTACCCAGCATACTGTATGGCCCGTTCAGACTCAATATGCAGTGTTTCCTAAGTGTATTTCAGCATGGAACCTCTTTTTTTTTTCCTAAGAACTTCTCTGAACACCCTTTGACAAACCCTGCCCTGTTCATTTGTGTTTACTTAGCAAACATGAGTTGAGCCTTTGCCATAGGCCAGACCCTGTATGATGTTCTTCATCCTTAGGAACCAGGGTAGCTGATGGCCCAGGTGGAGGTGGGGGCAGGGCTTTGTCCTGGGAGCACAGGGTCTGCAACTTCTTTGCTCTAACTCCAGTTTTGCCTTGACCCCAGGATGAACCTGCTGAACGTTATTGGACACTCTGATTTTAGTATCTAACTCCCTCAGGAAACTCCTGGGTGGCTCAGTTGGTTAAGCATCTGCCTTCAGCTCAGGTCATGATCCCAGGGTCCTCAGATTGAGTCCTGCATCAGGCTTCTTGCTCAGTGGGGAGCCTGCTTCTACCTCTGGCTGCCACTTCCCTTGCTTGTGCTCTCTCTGACAAATAAATAAAAATCTTTGAAGACAGGGAAGCTGAGACAGGGAAACTAGTGGGACAGTAACTTGCTTAAAATTGCACAACCAGGGAGTCACAGAGCTGGGACTAGAGTCCATTCTGTTCTCACTTCACATTCTGTCTCCTCTTCTCTGAATCCCAATGCTCAGAGCCCCTAGGCACCTTCATCTAAGAGGTGTGGAGGCTGGACCGGTCTGGCTTGGTGACATCTCCCATCTTGTGGCTCAGATAGGAGGCAGAAATACTCCCCTCTGTCCCAGCAGAAAGCACAGAACTGTAGAATCTGAGAATGCCAACTTTGGAAGGGGCCCTCTGGGGGTCTTTAAATGCACCCTCCTTTTGCCTCACTGGTTTGTACATTACTCCGCCAGGTGGAGAAGGGTCTGCTTATCTTTCTAGATCTCCTGGGTTGCGAATGTCGCAACGTCCCTCGACTTCCATTCTGGAGTCTTGCACTGGTGACGGGCACAGAGTGATACCTGTTGCCTAATCAGCGGCTCCTCTCCTCCTCAGTGCAAGTGGAGGACATGGGTCACCAGCTTTGCTCTGTGGCCTTTCCTGTAGTCGAGGTCAGTCTGGGGGCAGTGGGAAATTCAGGGCTTGTGAGGGTGGCTTTACCTTGCCTGTCTTGTTTTGCCCCCCATGACCCTTTGTTGGCAGGGGTTGGGGCGACAGCTCCCTTTAAAGCTCTGAAATTGGAGCTGAACAGCTGCTCTCCCGTGCCCCCCTCCTTCCCCCGGGGGTTTAACCAGCTCAGGGGCCCAGGTGGAGGTGGGGGCAGGGCTTTGTTACTGGGCAGTGCTGTCTCCAACTCTGTGTTCTAATTCCAGCTTTGCCTTGACCTCTTCTGAATGACAGTTCTCCCCTTGCTTTTGGTTTCTCCATTTAGATAGTAGGGGGACTCTAATCACCTCCTAGGTGATATGGTCCTGGAACCTTCAGCTGGTAGCAATTGGATCTTTGGGAACGTTTCTGCTGGAACTCCAGTCCCTAAGATGGGTGCCCACACCCTCCTGCCTTTAATACCGGCAGGCCCCTGGAAAGGCAGGAGGATGGGCCCGGCTCCTGGTAGTGTGGGCCAGCTCCATCACTGTGCCGAGGGTGGGCGGGCCCCCGTGGGTGGGGACCTGGCTTCCTTTGACCCAAACTTCATGGGAACAATAGACTTCAGAGGAGTCACCAGGGGCAGGAAATGGGAGCTGTGCTAAGGCAGGGTGACCCTCCTGTGGGATGAGATTGCATATCCGGCTGGAAGGAAAGGCAGGGTGTTGGGGGCAGTGCAAAGGGCTGATGGGGAGGGCTGATGACACATAGGGTGGGCCTCTTCTTCCCAGGGTGCCCTTTGCTTAGAGTGAAACCTGAGCTGCTTAGAGCCCATTATTTGGTGGAGCTGTCTGCTTTGTGTCTTACCAGCAGAGGTATTGTGGTGTGTGCCCGCGTCAGCTCATGCCAAGCTCACCCCTGCCAGAACCATGAATTCCCCTTCCCTTAAAGCCCTTGAGAGGTCTTCGTGAATTGTCCTGGCCAGGATAAAAGGCTAGTTTTGTTTCTTCCTGGCTGATCTCCATCTTGGCTTTGAGCCTTGAGTAATAGTTGACGAGGGAGGCAATTTGTTCAGTAGGCAGAGCTCTGGGTGGGGAGGCAACAGGCCTGGGTCAGCTGGACAACATAAAAGGATTTTTTTTTTTTTTTTTTTTTTTTTTTTTTAGTAACAGAGCAATAAGACAACCAGGACAGGCAGGGGGAGATTCCTGCTTGAAGCATGTGGTGGATCGTTCTTGGAGGCAGAGCACACTTCTCTTGCCTTTCTCTCTGGGAACGAAGAGTGGACTTGTTGAGAGGGCTCAGGAGAAGAGGAGCAGGCTTTGGGAGAAGGGAGACCCTGCACCGACTTGCCTTTGGTGAGTTCTGGTGGCCGGGTTTTTACACATCAGCCCTGCCAAATCAGAGGGGGAGGGAGAGGTGGCAAAATGATATCCGTTGTTACCATTTTTCCTTAATGTGGCAAGATCTGGAAATGGCAGGCTGGTAAGCCTCTTTTTTTAAGATTTTATTTATTTATTTATTAGAGACAGGGAGAGAGAGAGAGAGAAACAGCATGAGAGGGGAGAGGGTCAGAGGGAGAAGCAGGCTCCCCGCTGAGCTGGGAGCCCGATGTGGGACTCGATCCTGGGACTCGATCCCGGGACTCCAGGATCATGACCTGAGCCGAAGGCAGATACTTAACCAACTGAGCCACCCAGGTGCCCCAGGCTAGTAAGCTGCTTATTGAGTAGGGGACTCCAAAATGGCACTGAGAGAACTGCTGGCCAACACAGTCACCCTACCAACTCCTGGAAACATCTAGTTGAGGTTCGCAGAATGTTTAGTAAGGACTTGGAGTCTCATTTTTCTTGGGTTCAAGAGAAATAAATAGGATCGGGCTGCTGCAGCAGTAAGATGAATTTGTAGCTGGTTGAGAGGCTACCCTGGCTGCTCGTCCTGAGCTCACGTCGCTGTGGGTGGGGGAGGTCTCTGGTGACAGGCCACGGAATTCTCATTTTGGCTT